CATTATTGCTCCTCCTCTGCTGTGTGGGGCTGGGCCAGCCCTGGTCCTCTGACATGGGTTAGACACATTGCCTTGTGTGGACTCAGGGATGCCTTTCTAGGGATAACACTGTACTGACACTGAGATCTTTCCACTGCTCTCCAGGGTGAGAGACATGCTTCAAAGGCATTCTGCAGCAAGATCCCAGCTGGGCTGGGTATACAAGTGAGAGCCAGGTCTCTCTCTCTCTCCCCCAAACCCCTGTCCCTTAAACATTTCATCTCCACTCCCTACCTACTCCCACTTTCAGGAATCCACTAGCTGAATCCAACTTAAGACTCTGAAAAAGAAAGACACTTCACTTTCGCGTGTCTGTATGTGAGGCGGGAGGCATCCCAACCTTTAGAAACACAACAGTGAGCATCTCTTTCATAGATTGGAGGGTGGAGAAAGGAGAGTTGATTTTCCCTAAATGACTTATTTTGGTGAGTTCTTTAATTTCTGGTTGCTATATTATAGCAAAGATGTAATAAGCCTATAGGTCTCAAGAATGCAAACTATAATAACTAAAGGATGCATACATGAATATAGTCTAAAAGAAATGAAAAATCCTTTATCTAGAAATATAAAACTCCACAGCTGTACAATGGAGATTTACAATGGCAATAGAGATATATGTATACATATACATGTATATTTAATTATAAATTAGGAGAATCTGAAATTGTTATTAAAATTCTAGAATACAACCACAAAAAGAAGAACAGAAACCTTCAAGCCTTAAGGTACACAGTTTTAGACTAAGAAAATGCCACTTTACTTCAAAGTACAGAAGTTTTCAATCCAATAAAATATTATTTATTTGACTGCATCTAAAAAATGCTTACTTGGCTTACATTTTAAAAATTGAAACACTTGTTCGCCTGAAGTGTAGTCATTTAAAAGTTTCAGTAAATTCACAGATGGTAGGTTTTTAATGAACTATTAAAAATCCTAGGGGTACATTTTTAACTTTCTAAAGATGTCCTAGTAAATAACCACTTTCTCAGTAGTCACCTATGTACTCTCCCCCTCTTTTCTCACATCGGTGCTCTAGCAAGCAAAACAGAGCTCCTCAGGCTGTCACCTCACTCTGTTTTCCTTTCTAACCTCTGGCTACATACTCTGGTTTCAGATATTCTACCACCAATTTGCACCTTAATGCTGTACTTGACATACACAAAATTGTTCAGTATCTTTCTTCTTTTAATGTTATGTGATTTTTGAATTTGAATTTTATTTTATAATTAATACACTTTATTGATGAAAAACTTGAAAGTAAAAAGAAAATAAAATGCATTCATAATTCCAGCCCCATGGATCTTAACCCAGTTAATACATATTTCTAGGTATTTTTAAGGTAGAAATAAAATGTTTTTTTTACTTTATAATATCTTAGGAAAATTTTTTCAATGCCAGTGAATGTTCACATTTGTCATAATTTTTACTATATAGTGTTCTATTCTTTGTATTTCCCTTTATGTATTAAACCAGTTTGATGAACATTTAGGAGGTTTCCAAGTTTGCAAAGTGTAGCTTTGATAGTGCAAATCTGAAACAAAAATTTTCTGCACTAAACTCCATACTGGATGTAAACAGTTATTTTCATATAGAGTAGAATAAGGTCCTCTTGATGACTTTTGTTCTAAGTTTTCTTTGTTAATCTGATGTTTTATTTCTCTCTGTGTGCCTTAGAATAAGGTTGCATTAAAAAATCCTGTTGGACTACTGATTTGAATTGCATTGAATTTGAGTGTTAATTTAGGAAGAATTTATGTCTTTACAGTACTGCATCTTCTCATCCAAGAAAATCAAAGTTCTCTATTTAGGTATTTTTACGTCCTTCAGAAAAATTTTGTAGCTTTTATCTTAAGAACTTACACATTTCTTATTAGGCGTATTGGGGAATCTTTTATATTTGTAGAGATTGTGAGTAATATCACTTTTGTTGTTTTATGTTTATTTAGGTATTTACAGAGAACACCACCTAGCTGAATTTTTAAATCTAACATGAAAAGTCTGTTTCTTTTGATAGGAGAATTCAACACTTTTACATTTATTGGAATAATAACTATATTGTATTTATCCTTTACATCTATGTCTACTTACTTATTTTACTTTTTTTTTCACTTTTTTCCACTTTCTTACTTGCCAGCTTTATCAAGTATTTCTTATTCCTTTCCTCACATTATTTATAGGATCTACAGTGCTTTGTCATTCCATTAATGGTCATCTTCTTATCCCTTACAAACACACTTAAATTTAAACATATCCCATCTCCCTCCTATTTCTCTCTACCTCATTCCACAAATATTTTTTGAATGTCTACTGTATTACATTTTGTTGGGTAAGTTAAAAAAATTAAGTAGTCCTATTTTTTCCTCTCCCCAAGTATATTTTTTATTACTTTAAATGACAAAGCTGATTAGTAATCTTATAAAAAATGAAGGAATCCAAAGTTGAATTAGTAATTCATCCCTGTGCTGTCTTCCTTTCCCATTCCCTGGAGGTAACTGATGTTAACAGTGTAGTGAGTGCCCTTCCACCTTGCTTCAGGCATATGGGCACCTTCTAAATGTATTGTTTTGAAATTGGCATTTTAAATTAATTCCTTTGGATAAATACTTCTAATTTATTTCTGTTTAACAGCTGCATGATTTTCTCTAGTTTGGGAGTACCAGAATTTAGTTTTTCATCTCATTGTTTATTGATAGCATTCATGTGGTTTCTCTTTTTTTCCTATTTATTCCTGTTTATTGCTAAATTGGGTGATAAAATACCAACATTGGAATTTGGGGGTCAAAAGCTCTGTATGTTTTAATACATACTGCCGTATTACCTTCCAAAAATTTTGTGATGATACTCATTCTTAATGTTTGAGAATGCCTGTTTTTCTATATACTCATTTGCACTGGACATTTTTAATGTTTTATTAATCTTTTTAAGATTTCTGCCAAATTGATAAATGAAAACAGGTACATCATTCTTGCTTTAATTTGCATTTACCTTGACTGAAAGTGAGATTGAGCCTCATTTCATAAGTTTATTGGACATTTAGATTTCCTCTTTTGTAAATGTCCTGGTCATCTCCTACACTTTCTTTTCTAGTGGGCTATTTGTCTTTTAGGAGCATTTTATATATGAGATATTAAAGTTTTTCATATGGTATTACAGATATCTACCAGACTACCATTTATTTGTATTTTGCTCTTGTTTATGTTATTTGCCATAATAATTTGTTAAGATTTTTATTTAGTCAAGTCTATCTTTTCTTTTATAGATTTCCTGACTTGCTAAGAACTGTTTCTCTCACTCTAAAGTCATATAAATATTATAAATTATATTTTAATAATTTTAATTCTTATGCTTTACATTTAAATCTTTATCTATTGACATAATATGTGTTTTATAAGGTATGAGATATGGCTCTAGCTTTGTGGGCATTTTCCCCCATAGTGGTACCAATTTTACCAGCACCATTTATTTAATAAGAGTTTCTTTTTCCCACTAAATTGAAATTCCACATTTGCTATATGATAAGTTCCTTACATACTTGCATCTGTTTCTGGATATCTATTCTGTTCCATTTATTTACTCCTTTGCCAAACCATCACTATTTTCTTTATAATCACTTTGTGGTTGTAACTCATTTTTAAGGAGTCTGAACTATATGGGTGTAAACATGAGGAAGTTTTATTTTTTCCTGGAACTGCCCTCACACTTCCCTATTTGAACTCCATGTCTTTCTAGAGAGTGAGTGCCTTAATGACATCTTGATCATTTGCTCCAACTTTCTAGTCACTTTTGGCTGTTGGAATAGTCTCATTTTGGTTTTTAAGACACAGCTGTGTTTATTTTTGAACTTCAGTGCCAGGTAGACCTGTATGTGGTACTAGGGGCTTGTGGCAGAGTGAATTGTGGGGTCTGTTTTATACACACACCCCTTCAGTCTGTCTTTGAATATCTACCTACCCCCACCTTCAGACTATATTCTCCAGGAGACATTGATTGCTCCTATGACTGGCAGCTTGTTGGTGGTAAGAAGGTAGCCTTGGCTTCCCTGCGCTTCATTCCTGTTGTCTGATGCTTAGTGTTGGTTCCATGTAGACAGTGTGTGGTGTGTTTTCTTGGCCCAGTGGGCAGATTTCAGCTTCACACTGAGCCTTTCTGGGGCTGTTAACAAACCCCTCCTATAGCCTAGAGGCAGTGAAGTCAGCACACCAGCAGAGCTTTGCCCCAGCCCCTGCAGGTTCTGCAGTTCAGCAAGTACGTAGTCAGAAAACATGGTCCTTGTCAAACCTTCCTGGAGCTCCCTCCCCAGGGTTTGTTTCTGAATTATCCTCTGGGGACCTCCTAGGAAGGGGAATCACCTCCTCCCAGCTCACAGGATTTGGGGAAAAAACTTATCTCCAGGAATATGACATTCCTGAGAGAGCTTTCATATCCCCTTGAGTCTTCTTCCTATATTGACTGGGTAGTGGGGCTCAGAGCAGTAAGGCCAGTTCTTACTGGTAATTTCTCAGAACTCTGAGAGCAGATGGCCAGGTCCTTCTCCAGTGGCTTCTTTATTGCTTTTTATCCCTAACTTTACAGAGAGCCAGGATAAAGGAGCAAAAATACTATTACAGTTTTAATGTCTGGAAGGCAAGAATTTCCTTACTATGCTTTTATTAATATATCCCAATTTAATAATAACCATGCCCCCATCAAAAAAGTTTGCTTGTTGACCTCCCTCTGCCCCGCTTTAGCCCTCTGCCCGGCCTTCAAATTCAATTTAAAACTGCTTCCACAATAATATCTTCCCAACCACCAAGACCAGGCTATTTCTCCCATTACATGTTAGCCTAGTTTCCTGCGCCTCATGTTTTAACACTATCACAACTGTAATTAACTAATGGCTTAATCCATTGTGCAATGTGTGTCTTTCCTGGTAGAATTTAAGAATATAAAGCATAAGAAGACAGGAGCTGGTTCTGACTTACCTACTGCTTGTGAGCGCCTCACACATGTACACCTCCAGTCTCTATTTACTCAGTGGATACTGACCAGTCTGAAATACATCATGAAGGACAGGCAGAGGGAGAGGAAGAGGAGGCTTTGGAGAGGAAACAGGTCTTAGCAAAAAGTTGGAAGTAGAAACACTTGTTTTATATATTGGAGCCTGAAAATAGATTGGGTTAGTGGGAGTAAAGGCTTTGCAGTGGGGAATTTGGGGGAGATAAAGCTGGAAATGTGGATTTGGGGCAGAATGCAGTGAACATCTGTTGAACAAACAACAAAGGTCCTAGTTCATCAAAAAATATGGCATCTACCTTTTAAAACCTGACTAGATACATTGAGATGGGAAACGACTTTACCTAATTGGATTGGGAGGAAAAAAACATTTGAGGACTTGGGGAACACTGTTCAAAAGGCTTCTAATCTTAACACATATACTCTCCTTAAACAGACACTTAACTTAGAGCTTTGGTAATCTATACTACAAAAATGCATAATCTCAGAACTTATTATGTACCATAGAATATAATGATAAAATATTACTCATAATGAATGCCTTCAACCTTCTTCCTAGAACTTCTAGAATCTCCCATCATCCTTGATGGAATAATGAGAACCAATTCTTTTTACTAAAAGAAGTTTAAATTCTTCATTCTTCCTTGAGATTTTGATGAAAAGATTTTGATTACAAGCACAGGAAACAAAAGTCCTTTATTCATCGAATAATATGCTTAATTGCTTTTTCCAGCAGACCATCTCCATAGGAGGGGAAATAATTCAATTTCTAAACTTCTTTAGATATTAGCTGTTCTGTTGGGCTTCCTGCAAGCTTATGAACTGAGATCTCAATTTTAGACCAAAAAAATAATTATTACTATTAAATTCCTTTTATTTATTATATCTTGATCTTCACCTTTCGTATCTGCCTCATCTACTTGTCCTTATTATTATTTAAAAAATATTAGACACGGAGAGTTGGTTCCACTTAATCTTATATTCTCTCTCTAAGTGCCTGAGAGGGAACCCAAGCTAATCTTTGCCTCTCTTCCACCCTCCCAAAACTTGAGAGTCAGCAGAAATGGCAGAGACTTTCATTCACCTTGGAGCTTAGAGTGATCTGGCACTGATATTATCAATACTTGTGCTTATTACACACTCCAGGTCCTGACAGGACAGAGGGAGTTTTCCTACTTAAATGTCCTTCTGAGGAACGAGTTACTTGTGTTGGGAAAAAAAAAAGAGCAAGAGAATTAACTTCGTGATGATGATGATAACCACCATCAAACAGAGTTTTTGTGAATTTCTATCATTAAGCATTTTACCTACAGTATATCCTTTACTCTTTACAGTCACCTTATGAGCATTATTTTATCCCATTTTATGCAAGGGGAAAGTGAGACTCAGGGAAATTAAGATAACTTGTCTGATGTCACATAGCTTTTGGGTGGCAGATCTGGAATCCAGATTTTCTCTAGGCTCTAGTAATTGGGGCAAGGTACCTTTTGGCCTCTTTATCTGGCACTAATGTGTATGATCTCCCCATGCTTGATATAAATGCATCTATGATGTAAATATTTGGACTTTTTTGTTCTTGTACACATGCTGTCAATAGATGTATGATGTTTGAAACTAGGCCAGAAGGTTGCTTCTCTAAAGGAAGAAAAGATTCCTTCTTAATGCTGTCTTACTGCTGTGTACTTCCTTCCAAACTTAGAACTCTATTTTTCATTCAGAGTTCTTCGATAACAGAAAGGCTTTAAAAAGAAATGTCAAAACTAGAGATGGGGTGAGATGAAAGAGCAGAGAGCTATAATTCATTGAATTGCGTCATTATCACCAACTGAGTCACCAACTGAATTGAATTAAACTTTTCCCCATCTGAGCTGGCAAAGACATTTTAAAGAGAGAATAAATTTGAGAACTAAGATTCTTAGCTTTCTGGCTGACAGAGACATTTTAAAGAGAGAAGAAATTTGAGAACTAAGACTCTTAGCTTTCTGGTAGAAAAATCTGAAGATTCAAATAAAATGTGCTAAACACAAATAAGAACGTATTACCACAATCAACTACTAATTTTAAAACAGGGAATTTTTTTTTTTTTTTTTTTTTTTTTGCGGTACATGGGCCTCTCACTGTTGTGGCCTCTCCCGTTGTGGAGCACAGGCTCCAGATGCACAGGCTCAGCGGCCATGGCTCACGGGCCCAGCCGCTCCGCGGTATGTGGGATCTTCCCGGACCAGGGCACGAACCCATGTCCCCTGCATCGGCAGGCGGACTCTCAACCACTGCGCCACCAGGGAAGCCCAGAACAGGTAATTTTAAACATTTAAGATTAAAGAGAGCAAGAGAGTAATAGAAGAATACCAACATTCTACATTGGATAAGGTTTTTCTCAAATTTGTTTTTCTTTTCCACCAATGTATCTAATTTAAGAAGTTTCTTATTCTGTTGCATCAGATCTATGAGATATGGCTATCTGCTGACCAGACATTCTGCTCTTCTATCACTCTTCTGAAATCTAGTTTCCAGAGTCTGACATTTTTCATTCTGACCTCAATGTTTGCTTCTAGAAAAGAATGAGAGGGAGAATCTAAAAAAATACTTGAGTAGCTAGCACAGAACATTTTATGTTTACCAGTGTAGAATTCTCTGTTGGTTTGAAGAAGCTATTTAAATATCAGTCTCTCCCAAAATTTCTTCCATGAAATAGACAAAGAAAATTACTATATCCAAAGCAGAGTTTGCTTTCCATTTCTGTGAGCTCTTATAATTTTACTTGCCACAGGCATATGAGATTATAAAATTTTATTCCAAGGAGAGAAATTAAAATTCCAGTTTTATTTTTTTAAAATGGCAATTGTAATATTTTATTCAGATGTTGAATTTATTTTTTCATTATATAAATATTTATTGAACATCTACTGTGTGCTAGAAACTGTTCTAGACACCCTGAATACAGCAGTGAGCCAAACAATAAAAGTTCTAAGGAACTTCTGTTCCAGTGGTAGGAGGCATAATATTCTATAATATTCTATTCCAGTGGGAGGAGGAAAAATAAGTAAAATATCTATGTGAGATAATAGTAAGTACTGGGAAAGAAAATGAAGCTGCTATATGGAAATAAAAAGTGACCAGGAGTACTTTTGTATAGTATGAACAGACCTGTGACAAAGTGATTTTTGAGCAGCAGAGACTTCAAGGTAGTGAAAATATGAGCCATGAGATTATCTGGAGGGATATCCTAGCAGAAGTAGCTGCAAGTAGAAAAGCCCCAAGGAATGAGGAGTTTCACAAGGGGACCATTGTTGCTGGTTTACAGTGCATAAGGAGGGGCAGTGGTAGGAGGTTAGAGCAGAGAGGAAGCAGGAGGCCCAATTATATAGGGCTTTGTGGATTGCGATAAAGACATTGGATTTTACTCCACATGAGATAGAAAGCCATTGAAGGAATGACGTGATCTAACTTAGATTTGAGGAGGTGTTTTCCTGCTGTTGTGTGGAATTTAGACTGTAAGAGAGTTGAGTTGATCAGATGGACTGATACTATAAAAATACAGGGCAGAAATGAGGGTAGCTTGGGTTGTAGCAGGTGGTGTGTTGAAAAATGGTTGCAAGCCAGATGTACAATAATCAATAGTTTTTGCATCAGTTCTCTTCGTGATATAGGATCTCAAGTGTTCAGATAGTTAGGGAGAAAACTAAGTATCAGTGGTGCCAAGAAAATGTTTGAAGGAAGAGGAAGTGATAAGCTATACAAATGCTGCCTATAATTTCATGTAAGAGTTGGCCATTGGATTTAGCAATATGGAAAGCATAGGTGACATTGACAGTAGTAGTTTCTATGGGGTATTAGGAATGAAAAACAGATTGGAGAAGCCTCAAGAAGAAACAGGAAGAGAGGACATTGAGATAGTGGGTGAGACCAGTGTTTCTCAATCGGTTTTTTCATTATCATCTCCCTAAAGAGTTTTTTAGACACTTTTTCCTAATTGTCCTCCACCCACCCCAATGGAATTATAATATCATAGATATACTTTATATTTGCTACATAATATATATATATATATGCTTTATATATAAAAAGAGTAAGAATTGTTTGTCCTTCAAGAGTCAATTTTTGCCCTTTGAGGGTGATATTACTCCTACTGAGAATGTCACGGTTTAGACAATCCTTTAGAGGAGTTTTTCTGTGAAGGGGGACAAAGAATTGGGCTGGTAGCTAGAGAAGGAGGTTGGATCATGTTTTTATTGTTTTATATTTTTAAGATGGGATACATTATAACATGTTTGTGTGCTGTTGGAAAGAATATAATAGAAAGGGGGAAATTGATGTTGTAGACCACGATTTGACAGTTACAGGAGTCATGGTCTTGAGGAGGAGATAGAGGATGGGGGCTTAGATGGGAGCCAGACAGTTCTCCCACTATAACAGGAGGGAAGGCAGAGCACATGAGCACAGGTGGGGACGGGATGATATATTTGGAGATGAGAGCCTGTGGATGTCCTTTTCTGAACGATTTGTTTTCTCAGTGAAAAAAGAAGCAAGATCATCAGCTGAGATTGGGGAGGGGCAGGAGGTTTTGAAGGTTTAAAGGGAGAGGAGAGGTGTGACATAGTCATCTAGGGGAGTGAACTGAGCAGAATGAAGGAGGGTAGCCTGGCAGCATTAAGATCCACTTGAAGTTAGTGATTATGACTTTAAAATAAGACCAGTGAATATTTTTTCCCTCTAGCACTTGATCTCCTCTAAGCACATTAGATATTTTAAGTATTTGAATTAATGAATAAATGACTAAAGTGAGTGAATACTGAGTTTATGATGTTGCTACCTAAGATTTTTTCAATTTACTAAACTGACATGTTTTTAATTGGAATGTTTTATACTTGATTTTGTTAAAATTAAGGTCTTTAGACAAGAACATAGTATAGCACACCCTGGTTCAAGTTTTCTGATCGAAGTAGCTAAGATCAGCAAGGATATTTAGTGCCTTTGTTTTAGCTGATGCTGTTGCTGAATATGGGAAGAGGATGTAAAAAGGACAACTTGTTTGAATCTCTTTCTAAATATATTATTTTTATAAAAAGGAAACAAGAAGTCAATGGTAGTTTCTTTGAGGATGTGGTAGTCATTTGCTAGAAATTTCTGAAATTCTGAACTATGCTTATTCATTCATCCATTTATTAATTTAACAAGCATTTTCTCAGAGTCTCCTCTTTCATCAGCCACAAGAAGAACAAAACTGAATATAACATGATTTCTACCTTGAAGTACATTACAGGCATTTGGATGTTACACTACTTTTAGAAGAGGTGTATATAATTGACTTTAGACTACGAAAGATATACTGAAACTAATATATTTAGTGAACATGGTTCCTATGTAGTACCACATGCAATTAGAACTGATAAAGAATGTAATGAAATTTGTAAAATAAAAAATTCAAGCACATTAGTAAATTCAATACATTATCTATAAAATCTGTTTAACAGAAAACAGGGTGCTCACAGAGAGTGCTATGTCATGACTACAATTGCGTGCTTCATAGAATCTTAATTAGAAATTACTAATTCTTAAAGAATTACTAATTCTCAAGATTGTTATACTTTCCTTTTTCAAGATCAGTTGGTGCTTTTGAAGAGTTAACAGCTTCATAGATTTGGCGTATGATTCATTCTTCTGTTGGGGCCAGGCTGGTGCCCACAGGCTGCAGGATACACAGATGAACAGCATGTGGCAGTGTTTAAATGCTGTTCGGAAAGCCAATGCCGCAGGCCTAAGACAATTTAGAACACTTCTCTACAATGATTGCACATGCATATTGGGATTATATTTTTCTTTTATATTGCTATGTGTCATGCTTTGTTTGCCAAACAGAATATAGAAAATGAATAGGCAGTTTTCTGGCGCAAGTCTTAGTAGATAAATTGTCAGAATGAACTCTGTTGCTTAAGAAAAGCATAAACATAATTTAGTCACTGGATGTGGCTGTATGTAGGTTGTTGCTGTGGGGAATTTTGGTTTGGCCAAAGTGTTATTTTCTTTGAAAATTTTGATAGACTGAGGTTCTCTTTGTTTTCATAATACTCCCATTCCACCCCACCCACCAAAAGACCAAGCTATCCAATTACTGAGGTTACACTTGTATAAATGTAGTTGCCCAAATCTAACATAATCATGAATTTATCTTGTCATGACTTAAAATTATAGATATTATTTGAATAAAAGAGAATTAAGCTCTTGATTCATTTTTTAAATTTTTTTTTTTTTTTTTTTTTGCGGTATGCAGGCCTCTCACTGTTGTGGCCTCTCCCGTTGCGGAGCACAGGCTCCGGACGTGCAGGCTCAGCGGCCATGGCTCATGGGCCCAGCCGCTCCGCGGCATGTGGGATCCTTCTGGACCAGGGCATGAACCCGTGTCCCCTGCTGATGCAGGGGACACGGG